AACCTATTTGCTAAAAATATAAAAATGTAACACCTTTTGATTAGTTTGTAAGAACTGCTGATTGACATCAGGGAAGATGGAAATTTCCTTGCTGAATTTCAACAAAAAAAAACTTTGCATAATTGGTGGATGGGAATGAAAAAATAACTATGAGAATTCAGGAAGCACAGCGGCATCGCTATTTTCCCATTTGGATCAATGCATCTTTGCAAAGCATCTTTCTTCCCCCCCCCCCCCGCCTCAGCTACAACAGCAATTAAAACCAAGTATAAAAATAATCCGAATTAAGAACCAAATCTTTGAGTGGCTGTATCATAAAGCTTTGTTTTTTTTAAAAATGAAACATTTCCAAATCACATGGTTCTCATTAAAATTTTTAGTAAGAGCAAAAATGCGTTCGACCTTTAACAAATACATAAAATAATTTCAAATATTTTATCTTTATTTCATCCCTTTAAACCGAAATAATCCTACTTATATTCTATAATGCATGTAAAGCATTAGTGTGGAGTATATTTGAGAAATAAATGTACTAAACACAAGCAGGCGTTTGTTTTAAATGGCCTGGTGGGTGCTGGTTGGAGAGAAGAGGTTGGGGCTGGTGCCTGGTGCATTCTGAGGAGCCGTGGCTCTAAGGAGGTTTGGAGGCTGTCTGGGACAGAGTGACTCAAAGCCATGAGGCTGCTGTGGCATGAGCCAGACATACCAGGAGGCAACCAGGATCCTCATGACAGCAGAGCCCCAATCCCATTCCAGCAGTGGGGGAAGAGGAGTCTAAAATTACCCTAGTGCCCTAAAACCGGCAACCTGCCTGCTAGAGCTTAGATCTGGAGCATGTCCCAGAGGGCATGTATAGAAGGCTTGGTCCCCAGCCTGTGACACTATTTGGAGGTGGTGGAACCTTCAGGAGGTAAAGTCACTGGGACATGCCCACAAAGGGATACTGACACTCTAGCCCCTTTCTCTCATTCTTTGCTTCCTGACCACCAGGAGGTGTGCAGATTTGCTTTGCCACTAGCTCCCCTCCATGATGTTCTGGCTCATCCCAGGCCCCAAAGCAGCAGCACCAACCAACCATGAACTGAACCCTCTGAAGTCATGAGTTCAAATAAACCTTTTCTCTTTGCAGTTAGTTTATCTCAGGTATGTTGTCACAGTAAAGAAAAACTGACTAACACATTCCAGTCCAACAAAATCCCCAACAACAAGTTGCAGCCCTCCCACAACTGTTCTGAACATGGGCTCCCTGCTGGGTTTGGTGCCAGCACCCAGGGCCATCTCTGAGTCCTGGGACCACAGGCTGCTTGCCTCACTGTTGTCTCTCTCCCAGGCCAGACAAGTTCTTCTCTCACCCTGAATCCCCTTTCACTGGTACTTCTCATGGTCTGCTGGGGGCCCTATTATTTGGGGGCCATATCTGGCTTTCCTTTTTCTAGAAGACCCACTATAGTGGGTTACATAGAGGTCCCTAAAATATACCATGTCTTCACCCCCAAGAATTTGTGGATGTGACCTTATTTGGAAAAGGGGTCTTTGCAGAAAAAAAAAGTTAGAAATCTTGAGATCATTCTGGATTGGCCTCAGTAGATCCTAAATTTAAGGAGAGATGTCCTTCTAGAAGGAGGAGAGGAGAAGGCCATGTGAGACAGAGGAAGAGGAGAGCTGACCCTGGAGATCCCAGCCAGACCCTGCAGCCCCCACCTGGGCCAGCTCTGGGGCATGTCTCGTGTGGGGGATGTATGTTTGTTGGTGGGCATGGTGTCCCAAGTGAAATAAATTCTCATCCGCATTGCCTGAGGGTGTGCGTGTGGTGGGGAGAGAGAGCGGGAGAAATAGATGGGGGTGTGTGTGATACATTTCAGATGTTATTTCTGTAATAAAACCAGTTAAAATCAAAATGATATTTTGGAGCCTAAAGCGGGTAAACTTCAATTATCTTGAAATTTTCCTTCTAAGCAAAATCCTGTTGCTGATGATGTTAAATAAATGGGGTGTTAACGGTGTTAATTTTGTCAATAATAAGAAATATTTGCACGATGCTGTTCCGTCCACCAGGCACTCATCCACTCACTGGTCACCTTGTCAGAGGGAGGTTGACAGCTGCGGCGGGCATCTGCACATGGGACTAGAAGTGGCTTGAACCCAGTGGACGTTTATGGTTAATGAACAGGAAGTTCCATGATAAGGGGTCCAGGGTTGATTTGGCAACCCAAATCCAGGATCCGTGCTCTGCTTTTTCTTCTGTCATCTTCAGAGGATGGTGACATTTTCACTGTGGCCGATGTTTGCTTATTTCATCTCTAGACTCCTTGCTTTCTGCAACAGGCTCGGAAGTAGTAACAAAAATACAGGGGCCTGCTCGCCTTCCTTGGATGGGGATGACACCCCCCCCTCCGCCGCTGACCCTTACATCTCATTGGCTGGAACTAGGTCACATGCCCAGACCCAGGCCAATCACCATAGAGTGGAAGGATTTGCCATGACTGGCTGGGAGCCATCACACACTGCACTGGGCTCTGACAGCAAGAAAGGAGAGTGGCCAACAAGTTGGTTGCATTTATTCCTTCTTTCCACAAACATCTTTCCTGTGTCCCAAGATGGAGTTTGGGTGACACCTTTTCCATGTATGGATTTAAAAAGCTGGCTCAGATTGCAGAACCAACTTGCCCAAGGTCCCCACTCCAGTGACAGTGAATCCAGGGTTCCATCCCCCGTCACCCCAAAGCCCTTTTTTCCTTCTATCACACAAGTTGCCTCTTGATTGTGTCAGTCTTTTGGGGGCAGCCAGGACCTTCCCTGGCAGGACACTCACAGGGCTGATTGACACCCTGGCCTCTTGCTGGCAGGTCCTGAGATCTATGGAGTCCCCAGCTGCTCCCCCAGGATGTGGTTGGAAGACGCCCCCTCCCTAACAGGCAGGCAGGCTCCCTGCAGATGGGCCCCAGATGGCAGCAGCATCTGAGCAGTGGGCGGAGCTGGAAGAGGGGTGCTGGGGGAGGCTGGGGGCCAGGCTTGTTCTGCCAGGGGTTCAGTGGCCAGGGTGACTCAGGCTGGAGGGATGGTGCCTGGTGGGTTCACAACTGCGGGCCTGTGACAATTTGGGCAGAAGTCAGCTGCCCTGTCCCCTGGTCGCTTACCTGGGTCCGCGTGGTTCTTTGTGTCATAGGAATTCCCTGCTTGGAATGCAGATTCCCTGCCTACTAGAGCTTCGTCAGGGATGTGAGGGCTTTAGACCTGTCGGAGCCCTGGACGGCTCTCTTCCTTTGCACCCTTTACCACTCCTTGCTTTATGCCACACCAGGCAAGAGGAGTAGTGGCTGGAAACCTGGACTCCAAAGCTTGACTTTCTGAATCTGCCTCTAAGACTCACCACTGATCAGCTATGTGACCTTAGAAGTCACTCAACCTCTCTGTTCCTGGGTTTCCTCATCCATAAAATGGAACTAATCATGGTGCCAACTTCCAGTCAGGCTTTGAGGAGTAAATAAGGTCATATGCACACAGTGCTTGGAACCACACCTGGCAGCTAGCGAGTGCTCCTTGGGTGTCAGCTGGTGTCATCCCCAGCTGCTTGGCACTGTACAGTGCTCACCATTTTGCTTAGCTGGTGACCTTGCACTTTACTTCCAGCTTTTGGGAACTTCCCAGTTTCTATGACCTTGGGGGAAATCCACCTCCTTCCCGAGGATTGCTGTGACATCCAGGAAACTTGAGGCCTCTGGTCCCCACCGATTGTCCTGACACCCAACCCCAGGCTGGAGAATTCAGGTGCTCCTTTGCTGGATTTCACATAAATCCAGTTCCGCCCAGCATTCAAGTTGCAAGGATACCTGAGCGATGCGGCAGGCAGGTCGGGGGGCCTTTCAGGGCTCCTCTTCCTGGGGCTCACTCTCTGGCCTGTCTGTGCACCCCCAGCTGCCCTCCCTTTGTGAAGTGGAGGGGGTTCCCGGAACCACACCCCGTGCGGCCATTTATCAGCACTTGTTGTGGGCTGGGAACGCTCTGGGCACTTTCTAGGCGACCACACTTAAGTCTCCTGAGACATCTGTATGCATGTGACTGCCACCTGGGTTGTGGGAGTAAGGAAAGTTCCCACAGACGGGAACCAGCAGATTAGGGCCCGTGAAGCCCAGCCTTCTGCCGTCCACACACTGCTCCCCCTTCCCTGGGTCCCCAGCTCCAGGCTCTGGGGCTCAACTCCATCTACAGTAGGTCAGGACTTGGATCTTGAAAGGCCCCTGTGCTCAGGGCTGGGTCGCCAGTCTGTGGTGGGACCATTAAGAGGTGGGGCCTAGTGGACGAAGTGAGGTCATGCGGGGGGGTGCCTTAGGACCTGGGTTCTCCCCACCTCTGTCTCTTTCTCTCTCTCTCCTTGCTGCCTGGCTGCCATGAGTGCAGCAGCTTTGCTCTGTCCTGGGCTCCCACCACGATGGCTGCCTCCCCACAAGTCCAAGAGCAATGGGCCAACCATGGACTAAACCTCTGAATCCACAAGCTCAAAATAACCGTTTCCTCCTCTAAGTTGTCCTGGTCGGGGATTTTGGTCCCAGTGATGCAAATCTAACTAACAGAGGGCCAGCTCTGTGCGGCCTGGCGGATCGGAGGCTGGGCAGGTCCTCTCTGGCCTCCCTGGCCTCTGCATGTGCTCCTTGGCAGCAGCTCCTCCGTGGTGTGTGGCCCTGTTGGAGTGAAGCTGTTGGGTTTGGGTGCCCTGTGCCCTGTGTGGGCTCACTAGCCTCTGGGATCTGTCTGGGGTCGAGCCGGAGACGGGTTTGAGCCTCCTCATGGCAGGCTCTTAGCTGAGGCCCTGAGCTCGTAGCCCCGGAAGAGTCTGTGTGCGGTTTTGCCTCTGCATGTGTGCGTCTGCTTGGTGTGTGTATGTGTGTGTGTGTGTGTGTGTGTGTGTGTGTTTTGTTGCTCGTGTGCCAACCCTTAAACGCTCCTTCCTGCTTCCCCCACCCTGGCCCGGGAGCCCCGGGAGCCCCGGGCTGCAGGCCCAGCCCCTCCCCTGGCTCACAGCCGGCCATCTCTTCCCCACTCCCCAGCACAGTGTGAGAGGCCAAGTTTCTGGCTTCCCTTCTGCAGAGGGCAGTGAGTGGTGGCCTCTCTCCTCTCCTCAGGTGGCCTTGCGCCTCCATCCCGGCCTCCATATCCCCCTCTGGCCTCCTACCTTCCCTGATGGGGCTCCCTCACCGCCTCCCGGGCTCTGTCCCTGCCTTCCTTTCTCTCCCCTCCGTCTCTCTGTCACTCTCTCCCCATCCCGGCCACCAGAAGGTGCTGACAGCTGCTCCTCTGGAGGCGTGAAGACAGAGCTGGCAGCCGAGACGCTGTGGAGGTGCCCAGCCAGGAGCCAGGAGCCCAGGCGGGGCTGCTCGGCACTGGGGACGGGGATGGCATGTCCTTGAAGGGAGAGGAGCCCTGCAGAGCAGCGGAAGAAGAGAGGCAGAGCTGCCAGGAGGAGCTGCGTGGCCAGGGACCGTTTGTCCTCAGAGGGGACCGAGGTCTCTGGGGAGTCGAGAGCAGTGGGTGAGGAACGGGGTCCCGAGGCTGGTGTGTGTGCATGGGGACAGACAGGCCCGGGACCTCTGAGAAGGAAAGCCTGCTATCCTGGTCCCCTCCTGCCTCCCGCCAGCCCACCGTGGGCCTGGGCACCAGTAACGGAGCTGGAGCTGGAGCAGATGGCACAGGTGCCCAGTTCCCATGAGCTGCGGCAGGAGCCGACCCGAGAGGCCTGCTGGTCTGTGAGCAGAAGGTGCCCCACGGGCATTACTCACCATCGGTGAGGCCGAGGGGCTTCGGAGGACAACTGGGAGCAGGAAGGAGGAGCAAGATCCACGGGCTCCTCGCTGTCTGGGTCCTGGCTGTGCTACGGCCATCAAAGGGACCCCGAGGCCAAGGATGCAGAATGACCGTGTACTCTCCAGAGAACTTGCGGCCATTGTTTTGGGAAGCCAGTTGTCTCCCAGAAAGGCAGTCAGCCCCTATGCATCCTCCAGAGCCCAGCTCAGGAGCCACCTCTCATGGGAAGGCCCTCAGGACGCTCCACCTGGACAGCCCCTCCCCCAGGGCAGTCTCCCCCTTGTACCTGCTCTGTCGCGGCAGCAAGTCCACCAGTAGGTGGACTCTGTGCCCCTGTGTGTGTCCTCGGGAGACCTGGAGCTTCTCCAGGGTGGGGCATGTCCCTGATTTGTTTCTTCCAGGTCCAACGAGGGGGAGGCGGGGAGGGGGTTCTAGGTCAGGTACCCAGATCCTCGGATGACAGGCTGGGCTCGAGGGACAGGATCGGGCAGGCTGCAGGGCTTCCAGGTGGCATTCTGTGTGAAGGCCCCGGGGAGGGCAGGGTGGGGAGAGGGTGGGGCTGACTCTTCTTGGAAACCGGGCACTGGATCTTCGTTGGTGGTGGGTACCAGGGACTGAGGGCCTTTTCTGGGCACAGGGTGCCCTGGTCCTGGGGAGGGAGAATGACATGGAGGTGTTGTCCCAGGACAGCAGACACGGCTCTGCCCCCAGAATCAAAGGCGGGATATGACCCTCAGAGGAGGTGTGTCAACCTACCCCCTGGCCAGCTTTTCATCACCCCCTGGATGATGTCTGTCTGTCCTGTCTTTAGTTGAGCATTAAAGAGATTCCTCCACCCCCAATCCTGTGTCTAATGAACCTGACATTCAGAGAAAAATGTCTCCGGTAAAGGTCACAAGAAGGAGGTAGCATTCTCGCCGACAGCACCTGCCCTTCCGACGCTGGCACTCTCCTTCAAGATGGGATGCCAGGACTCACGTCCCTCAGAGCACTGAGCACCCTGTCACAGGCGCCACCTCCAAGTGGCTCTCCGCAGCCTCTCCGTCTGCCTGACCTCTGTCTAGAGACACCTGGGAGACACAGGGGGGTGCAGCTCCCGGCCCCACCACGTGGGGCAGAGGGAGGTGAATCCCCTAGAATCTGGCTTCGGGGTGTTCCTGTAGGGGGTGAAGCAAGAGACGAGGGGGGGCCAAGCCCAGAGTGCATGCTGGGAGTCTAGGCTTGGTCCTGAGAAACTGGTGAGTGGCTGTGAGCCCGAGCAGGGGGACGTGGCCATGTGTGTGTTTTGGGAAGATTCATCCATCCTTTGTCCTGCAGCCAGAGACAGGGACAAGGGTGGCTTGGTCTTGGGCAATGGGTGGATTTGAGGGTTCCTGGGCCAAGGGAGGAGGAGAGTGGAGGTCAGAGCAGTTTTGCTGCAGGGACTGAACTTGTTGACAGGTGCAGGGGCCCAGGCTGGGAAAACATGCTCTGGTTTGAACACGCTGCTCGAGGTACCTGGGAGACGGAGGTGTCCAGAGGACAGCTAGGGCGGGGATCGGGGCTCAGGGCAGAAGTCCATGCAGGGCAGGTGGACTTGTCAGGGACCTGCAGCTAAAGTTAAGAACTGCAACCGGGGGAGAGGCGCAGTTTCCAAGGGACCCATGGGTTCCCCAGGCAGAAAGGAGGCCAGGACCACTTCATCAGGAAAACTGGTGCCTGGAGCAGGGCATGGGCAGGAAGTCACACGGGACCCTGGAAAGGAGTGACTGGAGGCGAGGACTCGTGGGGGAGGGTAGCCCCAGGCCACTTATTGGTCAACCCTGGAGGAAGCTCTTCTCACTATACCGTTGACGGTGACCTTGCTTAGGGTGGAGCTGGGAGGCACACTTGGCTCTCTCAGGTCTCAGAGGCCATAGGCTTGGCCACTCTGTGCTTCTCACGCAGGCTCACTTGCAGATGCAGCCCTGCCCAGTCCCCCATCTGGAGTCACTCCTGCGGGGAGAAAGCGGATCCCCCCAGCCATGAGATTGGACTTGGTCATGCTGCTATTGACCACGTGCCTGGGAAGGTCCTACCTGTTCTCCCTCCAACCTTACTCCTCACTTAACCTCATATGGCTCTGTCTCCTGCCTCAGTTTCCCTGCTGAGCCCTCCAATTCCCACAGAAACCAGAGTCCACCAGGAATGCCAGCATAATCACCGCTAGCGTTTCCATGGCCGCCTCTGTTCCAGCCTCTATCTGTACATTAGTTCATTTAATTTCCCCGGAAACTCTTGAGGTAGATGACCTCATTCCCATTTTTCCTGATGAGGAAACCGAGGCATGGAGAGTTTAAGTACCTGGTTCAAGCTTGCACGGTAGGAAAACATCAGAGCTGGAATCCAAACTCAGGTGGCTTCCACTTCTGACCACTCCGAGCTCTCCAACCTGCCCCGGCCTCTGTCCCTAGTACAGGCCATCTCCTCGTGGGCCCTAGTTTTCCTGCAGCAGTAGCTCAGCACCACGAGGCTGGCAGCACCTGGCACTTGTGCTTCCCCAGGTGGTGAATGTGGTGACGATGGAGACAGTTGGGTGACGTGTCCCTGTCGTCTCTGACAGTCATGCATCTCTGATACCCCTTTCTGGTGCAGATGTCACCGTCGATGGTCCGTCAGGACAGGTTTGCTTGGAGCTCTCGGCACTTGGAACCCCGAGTTTTAAGGACGTCAGAGGAGAAGTGGCAACAGCTGTCAGGCAGATGTGGTGGCCCACGTCTACGGGGACTCGGGCACCTGACTAACGCTGTCAATGCTTCGGGTTTCTTCTCAGAAAAATGGCAAAATAAAAGCCTCTCCAACCTCCTGCACACACAGAGTGAGGTGATTATTTGTGTAGAAAGCTCTGTTGACGTGTTTGTCATGGTTCAAGCGGTGTGACCTGAGCCCTGCTCTGGGCTCTTGAGTGACCACACAGCCTAGGACCTGGGGATGCGCATGGGTCACGACTGAGGAGGACCAGAGTCTGGATCTTGGCTTCGTTCTTCCCTCGCTGCCGCTCAGCCCCAGTTTTTTGATTTATAAAGAGGGGGTGACGACAGCCCCCATGTCATGATGTGCAGAGGCAGCCCCGAATTTCAAGCCACATCTGTGTTCAGACCCTTTGTCTCTGGGAAACTTCCCCCCATGGTAGGTGGCCCTGTGCCTGGCAACATGCCTCAATGGCTACTTTTGAGTGAAAATTGCCCCTCCCAGGGCTCAGCTGGGGACCGTGGCAGGGTGGTGTGGCTCTGCCTGTCCAATTGGAGCAGACGCTGTTGGCGCCTGACCCTGTGCCTCAACACCTCGACACTCGGTACTTGCCTGGTCCCCAAACCCTCTCCCTTGCTGGAGAGGCAGGTTGCACCTGTCAGGAGGCCAGTGGCTGGGAGCAGCCTCAGCCAATCATGGAGGGAGCTGTAGGCTACATAGAGCTTCTCTGACCCATGGGCGCTGACTCTGAGGTGTGTCCCTTGCTGTCTCACAGAGGTCCCCAGCGGGATTGACAGTGTCAGCTTCCTCACCTTCTCCCTGCCCCCTGCCCCTCCCCCCACTGGGTCCTGGGGGCACCTTCCGAATGAGCCACATGCTGCAAATCACTGTCTTGTTTCAGTTCTCCTCCTCCTCCTCCTCCTCCTCCTCTTCTTCTTTTTTTTTATTGGTACCAGGGATTGAACTCAGGGGTACTTAATCACTGAACCACATCCCAGGCCTTTATAACATTTTATTTAGAGACAGGGTCTTGCTGAGTTGCTTAGGGCCTCGTTAAGTTGCTGAGGCTGGCCTTGAACTCGCTGATCCTCCCGCCTCAGCCTCCCGAGCTGCTTGGATTATAGGCATGTTCCACTGTACTTGGCTCAGTTCTGCTTCTTGGTGAACCCAGCTCAAGACAGACAGGATGATGGGTGTTTCTGGGATCCAGGGGAGAAGTAAGGAGGGGCTTGAGAGATGGGCATCAACCCACAGGCCTGAAGATGAGAGATGGCCACTGAAAGGTCACCAGGCACGGCGGAGGCTTGGGCCATCAGTTCAACTTCAAGTCATGTGTGATCCCCTCTCCTTGCCGCACCCCCCCTCACCTTCAGCGAAACTTACTCATATGGTGGAACGTGGTGCTCAAAGTTGCTTTGGGGAATCAAAGGACAGAGGAAGAGTCCCCTCAGGGCTGGATTTGAAATAGTTGCACTAGCCAGGCCTCAGGGAGCGCCCTCCACTCCTCACTCCCCTTGGTTAAGCGGGAAACTCCTGTGCAGGTTGCTTATTCCTCTGGTCAGCTTCCTGGACATCCTTTCCAGAGAGCAACCAAATCTGAGATACTGAGGGCATTCGATTTCTAATCTATGGCCAAGAAGAGACAGGCATTAACAAGACTATAAAGAAAAATTGCCAAATAATCAGAAAGCAGCTGTTTTTTCTCTCTCCTTTTTGGTTGTTGCTGGAGTATTTTCCTTCCTGCCACAGGGCCTTTGCACACACTCTGCTCAGAATGCTATTTCCCCAACACTTCCCCTCTTTGCCTAGTTAATTCCTACCTGTCCTTCATCCCATTACTAAAAAAAAACACTCGTTAATTCCCAGCTCCTTTCTTACGGAACTGTTCTTTTTTTCCCCTTCAAATCTGAATCTGTGTTATTGTGGTGAACAGTGTCCCTTAATAGGCACCATAATGCAGAGGTTGTGTCTGAGTTTGCCCCCACTGTGCTGCCAGCATCCGCACAACTGGCCAAGGAAATGAACATGAAAATGTTCTCAGTCTCAGGGTAAAGGGATCAATTTTAGTTCTCATCCACAGAAGCCAGGGTCATCTCACCACCCTCTTGCCTCCAGGTGAAACATTCTCCTACTTAAAACCACAAATGTTCCCCAGCCATAGCTCAGCGTTTCCTGCTGGGTGACAGGAGTATTAATTTGGGGTGCTGTGTGCCTTACATACAGAGGATAGCCTGGGACAGGAACTTAGGAAGTTCAAAGGTAAGCTTCCCTCCCGCTTCCTTCCTTTCTAACTGCAGTGCTTTCCTGAGCTTTCAAATGTTAATGAACACGGTGAATCTCCAGGGGAAGGGTCTGTTCTGCAGCAGGACCCAAATGTGTTTGATCTTGGGATTTATTGATTTATTGATTTTGCAGAGCAAAATCAGGACTTGTGTTTTTAGGTCATTCTTGGGCGAGATGCTGACTTACAGAGGAAACTCTAAGTTTCTAAGCCCTTTGTTTAAGCTGTGGAAGATCCGGACTCTGCACCCTTCCCCACCTCCCACATTTACTCGGGCTGCAGCCACCCAGAGCAGCACAAGCCTGTGGCCACCACACCTTCCCCTGCCTCCCACCCCCTGTTGGGTGGCTGCAATCCTATTGTCTGCTGGCCCATCTCCCAGTCCCCCCAAGACCTTGACCAAAGGTCACCTCCTCTGCAGTGCTCTCTTTGACTCTACCTCTGTGATCCAAGAGTCCCTGATATAGCCTCCTCTCAGAACGTCACTATAATCTGCTGTAAGGAGCTGCCTGTCCTCCCTTTAAACTCCCCAGGGTCAAGGTCAAAGCCACATCTTAATCTTGGTCATGTCCTCGGTGACCAACACAGGGCCTAAAAATGCTATGTGCTAGATAATGGCACCAAGAAGAGTGGGAAAGGGAAATGTCTCCAGTCTTAAAAACAGTAGTCAGGGGGATGGCCCAGCCTTCCTGGCCAAGATCTGCAGTAAACGTCTCTACTTCTGCATCTGTGTCTTCTACTTCTGTGGTCAGCCCCAACCTGGGCAGCTGGAAGTGGGGCATGACATTCTGGTGCATTTTGAGTCTCGAAACTTAATTAAAGACTTTGGCCTTCTTCACCTCACCAAGGCAGAGTGTAGGGCAGGGTGGGGGCGGGGTGGGTGCTGCACAGCCTTTGGGCTCACGGCCAGCCGTTGGCCAGGTCTTTCCTTCACTCAGCCTCTCATGGACCCTGAGCAGAGCTGTCCTCTTTCCTTCTGGACATGTCATCTTCTCTGGGCTCCTGGGACCCCATGTGCCAGCTTGCTGGTCCTCTTCTACTGCTGCACCTCCAGATGTTACGGGGACCAAGGACCGGGGTCTCGACTCCGTCTTCAGTCTCCCCCAGGAAATCCCATCTAACCCTCCAGTTTAAGAATCGTCTCTAGGCTGACATGTCCAGTCCTGCCAGTGCCGCCGACATCAGATGCATTTACCTGGAATGCGACTACCATCTTCTCTTGGGTGTCAAGCCACAAGTTCAAAGGCCAAAGCAGGACCCTTGATTCTCCTCTCCCCCAAGTGAGTTTCCTCTCTCGTCTTCTCATTTCAGGAAAGGCATCGTTGCTCAAGCCAAAATCCCTTCAGCAGTTCAACTCACTAGTCAGGCCTGCTGGCTGAATTCCTAGACAGACCCCAAACCCACCCCGGAATGGCTGGACTTCTGTTAGCACAACACCCCCGTCTCTCACCTGGATCATTGCAAAGCGTCCAGATTGATCTCTGCTTCCTCGCCTGCCCCTACAAATCTCTCAAATGCCAGAGATCCAACTTATGAGAGTTATTGAAAGAACAAGGGCTTTGGAGTCAGACGAACCTGGGTTTATCTCCTGCTTCTACCACGTATTATCTGTGTGATCTTAAAGAAATGATTAATTTCTCTGAGCCTCAGCTTCTCACCTGATAAAAAAGGATTAAATCAATCAGACTGCTTTGGAGGTGAGGCGTCCATAGGGTCTTCTCTCCTAGGGTTAAAACAATGAGAAGGGATCTAGGGCTGACCTCTTAGGTTTGGTTTTATCAGGAAACCACAAAATCAAACCAAATGTTATGAAGGAATTGCATTTGGAAATACTTGGGTGCTAAGTTTTGCAGCCATTATAACTGATCTGCTAAGTTCAAGCCCTCGCTTAGGTGATTTACACATAATTTGTGACCTTTCAAACACCCCACGAGAGACGCTTGTCAGGGAGACTCTAGCCAGGTGGTGACACTGACAGGCAGGCATGCAACTTGTAAATGGCAGGATCAAAAACTCAAACCCTGGCTTCTTGACTGCAGAGAAATCCGTGGCTAGATCAACAGAGACCACAACCCTACCCTGTGGAGGCAATCTCATTAGCAGAGAGCCCTAGACTTAATTGGTTTGGGGCTTGGATTTAGTTAGGCCCCGATGTTTCTGAAGAGTTTGCCTCAGGCAAGCCACTAGATCTCCCAGGAGCTCTATTTCCTTGGGAGGAAAAAAACCCCAAAACCAAAAACCCAGAAGACTCAATGTCAACACAATAGCAGTTACCTTATCAGGTGCTGGAAAGTCAAATGTGATACTATGTGCTCAAGTGTTCTGCAAACTGAATGATTCTTCCCACCCTTGGTCCCGTGGGCAGTAGGGGCCCAGAGAGGCTGTGCTGCCCTCCGGGGTTCAGTTCTGCCTCTTTGAAGGCCCTCCTGCTCCCAGAATCACTGGGTGTCCTGCAGTTCCTCCGTTTACTCCTCTCGGTTTTCCCATCGGACTCCTTGGGATTCTTCTTTAGGTTCCACTACTCCAGCCTCCTGGGAAACTTGCCTAGAAGTTCTCACAGGGAAGGAAATCTCTGCCATAAACTCTCACGGCACGTTACTATCGTCCTCACCCTGGGGAAGACAGGAGTATTCTTAGCCCACACGAAGAGCAAAGAAATTTTTGAGTTCCCGTTTACAGAAATAAGTTTCCTATTGGGACTGGAGTTGGGAGTGGAAGGACTGCAGGGCTGCCTCTGTTCCCACCTGTGGTCTCTCTGCTTCTTAATTCTGAAGCCCCCAACCCATTCCCATAGTGAGGAGGTGGGCGCAGTGAGGGCCTATGGCCGGTGGGAGGCAG